TTTTTTTTTTTTTTGAATCTCACAATTTCCTTAATGTTGAGAATTTTTACATTAAGACCATATATTTAAGGATACAAATCAACAATCAGCAATGGAAAAACTTTAAAAATAAAAATTTAGAGAGCTTTGAATTGTTAGTGCATGAAAAAACGTAATTAACGAACCCTTAACTTAAATACTTTAAAAACTCAAGAAGAAAATATTAATTTTCCTTTTCTGAATCAATTATTAATAAGTAAATTATTAGTAAGTAAATTTAGGAAAAAATTTTAAATATTAAAATGTGAACTTAATGAATATTTTTAAAAAAAAGAGTAGATTACAACTAGAACTTAGACGAAATATTACAATTTTCAATATATTTTTTTTACTTTTTCAATACAAACACATCTTTGTACTAGTTACATTTTTATATTACCTTAAGTATGACCACATTTTATAAACAAACACGTAATTTGAAAACAAAATTCTTGTTATTTTAAAACATGTTTTTGCATGTCACCATATGGTGACAATAATTACAAAATGGGATATTAATGAAACTAAACAGAAAAAACAGCATTACTTTTTTCAATTTTAAGATATATTTTGTTCTTAACCACACCATTTGCTCTATAGTGATTTAAAAACATAAGATATTTTTTGATAGACACTTTAAAATACAATTTGTATATTTCATCTAAATTTGTTATGGTTTAAATCAGGGGTTTCCAACTTACAAGAGGCCGGGGGCTGCAATTAAAAACACCAGTGAAATGGCGGGTCGAAACTTTATCAAAATTTTATATAGGACTCTTTTATGTTTGAAGGAACATTAAATATTACTGTCAGATTTTTATCAAGTTGTATAAAATAAAAGTATTGAATTACAAAGTAAAATAGGAAGTAGATTTTTATCTGAGAAAGAAATTTTTTGTACCGTTGGTATGTTAAATTTCCCAGAGACGAAGAAATTAGGGGTTTTTTTAACGAAGAAAAGTACTTTAAACCCATATAGATTTTTAATGAAAATTGTCCACAAAAAATGACAATTAATATAGTTTAGTTCGCGGGCAAAAAAAAAGAAGACTTAATTGTTTGGCCGGATGTGACTCGCTGGCCGCCAGTTGGTAACCACTGGTTTAGATGTATTTATAAAATTTATCAAAAATTATGAAATGTTCACAAGTAATTAAAACTGGAATTGCAAATTTTTTAAATTAAATTAAAGTAAAAAGTTTTTTTTTTTTTTTTTTTTTTTTTTAAAGTAACCTAATTTTTGTTTTTACTCACAATTTTTTAAACAAAAACTAACAACAACAAAAAAGAAGTAAAATTACAAAATTCAAATATTAATGTTAA